ACATTTAAACGTTAAAAGGGTGATGATAGACTTTTGGTCCTCATTGTATACATTTTATAATAATAAAAAAGAATTGTTCTATTTGTAGAACAAGAACTGATAGGTAAGTTTTGCGAGGGTTGATCATTTTGCACCGCCCTAGCCCATTTACAAATCAAAACAATTATTTATATTCACGCCGCATTGGAATCTCTTATGTATAGACTCAAGCTAGAACATTTTACACGTCCCAACCTGTTGAAGCAATACAATAACTGATTCCCCTACAACAAAGTACGTCAATGGTGTGATGCATTCCATCATGGTAGGTCAACTCCTTTGACCCTTTCGAAATTCTTATGTTTAATGACAGAAAATTAGGTATAAAGTGTCTAGAATTTGAAATTTCCGCCCATAACATTAAGGATGCACACATTCTTATTTTTAGTTTGCGTTTATAATACTGAAACTAGCGAATATAGGTAATGCGGTAGAGGAATTGTTTACGTAAAGCAAACAATTAAGGAACTTCACCACTAGATGCTGTTAAAGTTAAGAAATGGGGCTGGCGCATAGTCTTGATTTATGTGGATTCACTGTCTAAAACAGTGGTTTCTACATTAAAGAGAACCGTTACTCCCTTAAAATGGCTCTTCTAGTGTTGTCAATGGCTCAAGGTGTTTTTAAAAAGAGATACTCATCAGTCGTCCGTAGTTTTAGGTGTGTCTTCCAGAATATTTGAGGAGGAAATCTACGGCAAACATAAATCAAAAATAAATAATTTCTGATTCTCAAAATTATTATTGTGATTACTGTTGCGTTGAAAATAATTAGCCAAAATAAAAGAAAATTTTAAAAAGAACATAAAAAGAAAATCTAAGAAGTAAAATTCACCTGGTGTTCCTAAACAAAGGCTGAACCTATCATAGAGAGATCTGATTTTCACCATATATTTCTTAATCGGAATGAATAATTTTAATGTAAAATAAAGAACAGAACGTAGAGTAAGTAATGAAAAATTAATTTATTCCAAACAGAGAAGGGGATCCAACAGCTCTTACTTAACATTCTTGTAGCGATGAAAAATATACACTTCCCCAATAAATTAATGCACCATCAAAAAATAACAAAAAGTTTAAAGTAAATATTTGTCAAAACCACTTGTCTGATTTGGACGATTTTTTTTTTTTAATGACAGATTGTCTCTTCCACAACGTCGGTGTGCTAACTGTGTTTGTATAAAACCCTCTTTTTTATTAATACAGGGTGTATCAATTATAACGTGATTTTTTTCATAAAAGTTGTAACACCCTGTAGAGTGCAACAGTTACATTATCAAGTTAGAATTGATCTCACAATGTAGCCTTATCTTTTCTTAACAATTTCTTTTCTTATTTACTCCATTATCTTTGTCATTATTCGAGAAACATTATTTTATAACATAACATGATTTTATTAAAAATTAATATCAAAATTTAACAATGAAAACACGAAACAAAATGTAACGAAATAAGTGTCAGTAGCGAGTATTTCCGCCTCTTGCACGAATAACTTCTTGACAACGGTGGCCCATACTTAAAATAAGAGACCTTATGTCATTTTGGTCCAATTCTTCCCATATTTGAATCAGTCTCTGCCGTATATCTTCCAGAGAGTTCAGATTACGTTCCTCTTGTAATCTCCTCACAAGAGTATCCCAGAGATTTTCTATCGGATTTAAATCCGGGCTCCGAGCTGGCCATGCCATGGTAGCGATACCGACTTCCTCTAGATAATTTCTCACAACTCGAGCAACATGAGGCCTGGCATTATCTTGCATCAACAAAAATCCTTGCCGTATATATGGTGCAAATGGAACTACATGTTCGTCTAAAATCTCCAATATGTACCTGTTAGCTGTAAGGCTTCCATTTAAGATTACAAGTTCTGTGCGACCAGTCAAAGAAATGCCTCCCCAGACCATCAGAGATCCTCCTCCAAATAATGTTGTATGTGAGAAATTACATTGAGCATACCGTTCATTAGGGCGTCGGTATACACGCATACGCCTGTCATTGTTATACAGACAAAATCGAGACTCATCAGTAAATAATACCTGTTGCCATTCAGCCTCTAGCCAGTTACGATGCTCTCTGGCAAAATTTAGCCTTGCTCTGCGATGAACTCTAGTTAGAACTGGACCTCGAGCAGCTATTCTAGGCCTCAAATTATATTCCCTTAGTCGCAGACGAACAGTTTCTGTACAAACTTCTAAACCATTAGTATCCCGAAGCTGCGTTTGAGGGGTCCGAGCTGTTACAAAACGTTGTCTTAATGCTGACAGTCTTAAAAATCGATCCTGAATTGGAGTAGTTACTCGGTTTCTTCCTTGTCCCGGCCTACGACCATGATTTCCAGTCTCTCTATATCTTTGTATAACTCGTGAAACGGTTGTGTGGGTTACGTCAAATCGTTCACCAATTCTTCGGTAACTCCAACCCTCTTCAAACAATATTAAAGCTTGGGCAAATGAATAAAGTCATGTTAAGTTATAAAATTGAGTTTCTCGTGTAATAGGAAACATAATGGAGTAAATAAAAAATGAAATTGTTAAGAGAAGATAAGGCTAAATTGTGATATCAATGCGAACTTGGTAATGTAACTATTGCGCTCTACAGGGTGTTACAACTTTTATGAAAAAATCACGCTATAACTGCTACACCCTGTATTAATAAAAAAAAGGATTTTATGCAAACACAGTTAGCAAACCGTGGAAGAGGCAACCTGTTTAAAAAAAAAAATCGTCCAAAACAGACAAGTGGTTTTGACAAATGTTTACTTTAAACTTTTTGTTATTTTTCGATGGTGCGTTAATTTATTGGGGAAGTGTACATATAAATAACAATCATGAATTTTTATAAAATTACCAACTAGTTCTCAAAAAAAACTAAAAATATTCTTTCTGGATTCAGTTCTATTTGGTTATCGTAATGACGTGACATCAACCCAGGTGGTAATCCTTTAAAACTTTTTCATAAAGTAGTAGAAGCGATCTAAACAAAAAGAGCTATTAACGACCTGTTTAATTGTATTTACCAGAATTACTAAGTACTTCTTTAGACAATTTAGAATTTAACTAGGATAATAATTACCTACATAACCAAAAGTGGAAGCGAAGTTCATAAAGTACGCGAAAGCAAGCAGGAGACAATTATTGCAACAGTTAAACCATATTAGACCGGTTTAATGTGTATCTTAGTTCTAACGGGTCTCTTAAGTAAAGCACGTGGAATCCTTAGTTTTTTATTTGTGTTTTAGAATCCATTTAAAACCCCATTAATGAGCTTAAACTAAATGGACAATTCTACACTGAAAAAAAAAGCTTTACAAGCAATACCTGCTTGCTTTCGCGTACTTTATGAACTTCGTTTCCACTTATATATTTATATTAGGTACATATTTGTGTATCTGTAATAGATCAATTTTTCACAATATAAGTCGGTTTTCAGAATAATGAATTTGAAGAACAGTCTCTTCCCAGTGGCGGCTCGTGAGGTAGTGCCACTGTACCATGGCACTACCTTTTATTTTTAAAACGTCTTATCATATTTTTATTTTATGCATTTCTTTTTATATTCAAAAATTATTTGAAATGAATGAATAAAATTGGCGTCTTAAAAAACTATTTTAGTGGTTTTTCGCTAGAAGAAAAATTACAAATTAAAGAATTAGGCCGGCCAATTCCCGGCCAATAATTGGTTGTGTGGTTGCGAAGAAACTAATAAACTGTTTTGTTTTGTATGTGTTTGATATGTGTTTTGTTAGGAGGTGACGAGACTTGGTCAAAAAAAGGCCCGATCTTGTCCATATATGGGATAAAATGAAATCCCATGAAAAATCTAAAGTGCACAAGAATAATGTTTTTAGCTTTTCCATGCTTGGTAAGTTAAATATGAAAACCCAGTTAAATTCGGCTTATCATGATGCTCCAATTAAACATAATCAACAAGTAGATAAGAATCGATATGTTTTAAATCAAATTATAAATTGTATAAGGTTTTGTGGATCTTTTGAGTTAGCTTTAAGGGGTCACGATGAAAAAGATAATTCGGAAAATAGCATATTTAAGGGAGCTGGTGAATTTTAGCGCCGAATTAGACAACGACTTAAAGGTTCATATTCAAAGTTCAAAAGCTTTCAAAGGTACCTCAAAAACAACCCAAAATGAACTTCTTGGGTGCATGTTAGATGTTTATCACGAAGAAATTAGGAAAGAAATAGAAAATTCTCCTTTTGTTGCAGTGATTGCCGATGAAACGACGGACGTTGCTTGTGAATTTCAATTAGTTATAGTTTTCAGATATTTGTGTAAAGGACGACCAGTTGAGAGATTTTGGAGGTTTTACATGCTCGATGGACACGACGCCAAATCAATCGATGAAAGCATTTTAAATGTTTTACATCCATTATTAAAACATAGTCCAAATAAATTAATTGCTCAAAGCTATGACGGTGCGTCTGTAATGAGTGGTGAATTATTAAAGAAACACATCCTCTTTCAAATTAGGTTCATTGCTATGCACACCGCACATGAATTTAATTATGACAAGTGCATTTTCTGTCAATAAGCAGGCTAGAACATTTTTTCTAATTTATCTGGTTTGTGCTCTTTCTTTTTCACGTCTCTTCAAAGAACAAAAATTTTGGATGAGGTAGTTAATCGCATGTTGCCAAGATCTTCCCAAACACGTTAGAATTTTCAAACGCGAGGTGTTCATACTGTTTATGAGAATAGAAAAGACCTAATTACAATTGTGCACATTATAGAAAGTACTTCACGCGATTCGTCGTCTATTAATCAAGCAAGTGGGTACAAATTAAAACTTCAGGATAAAAATTTTATATTTTGGTTAAGTATTTTTCATTAAATAATGCCTCACGTAGAAATTTTTAACCAATTACAAAAAGTATGCACAGATTCTGTTAAGGTCAAGAAAGATTTGGAGAATTTCGAAGCAGCAATTTAAGGTATACGGGAGCAAATGGACAGTATTATTGACAATATTCAAGGAGAAATAAACAAGTCGCAAGGAGAAACTGGCGAACCAATAAGAAAAAAGGCACGAATTGAAGAGAACAGCAGAAAACGCGAAGCCTTAGAAATATGCGATGCCGTTTTATTGCAAATAAAAACAAGGTTCAACTTCTCTAGGCATTTGGTCGCTTCTAATTTATTTATGTCGGAGAAGTTTTCGGTCTATAGGCATCAGTTTCCCGAATCATTCCTCAATGAAACATGTATACAATTTTCATTTTTAGACCAAAATATGCTTAAAAATGAATTACAAGTACTGTATCAGAGAGACGAATTAAGTACCACCTCCGGAGCTGTCCCGCTGTCAATTTTATTAAATGAGGAAGGTTTAATTTGTACATTTCAGGAAACTCTTAAACTTTTAGGTATTTTGATAACAATACCTATGTCAACATCTGAAGCAGAGTGCTGTTTTTCAATGCTTAAACGGTTTAAAACATTCAATGAAGGAAGAAAGACTTAGTGCTTTAGGTATGTTGTCCTCAGAAAAACATTTTGTAAATGGAATTGAAAATTTTAATAATAAAGTAAGTGAAAACATTGCAACCAAAACAGAAAGAAGAATGGACTTCATTTATCGGAAACTTTAAAACTAGTACACCAAACAACTTTGTGCGCGTGTGTAAATACTGTAAATAGGTATAGTTTTATTTTTGTGATTTTTTGGTATATGGACCTAAAGACTCTTTATGGTAATAACAAACTGCAAGGACTTTCAGCATTAATTACTGGAGGTAAGTTAATTTATAAGTTTTAATTAATTTTACAGAGTTCTTTGATAAGTTTTGAGTAATTTATTGGCAAAGTTTAGGATAAGACTAACCCTGACGGCATGTTTCGTGGCAAAACTTGTGTTAGAAACCTCATAAATAGTAGTCATATAATAGATATAAAAGTATCCGTCCTTCATTTATATTTTTAATTAAAATATCTATTTTGACAATACCGTGATAAATTTCTGCCCAACGCCAGTTTTTTTAAACGACTTTTGGTTAAAAATTTGGGCGTGGCACCCCAAAAAATGTTTCGCCTCTGGTGGGGGGCCTCCGACAGGGCACCTCCGGCGAGGTTTTCTCATTTTTTAAAAATCTGGCACTACCATCTCGTATTATCACGAGCCGCCACTGTATCCTCCTCTTTCTTATCTTACAGGCTTTTTATTGAAATAATATGTCCATAAAATTTTTAGTGAGTTCCTTGTATTATGTTTTAAGGTGCTTATAGATATAACGGGCCGGGCCGGGCCCAGACTAACAACGAGCCCAGGTTCGTCAGATTTGTATGGTGATGTATATCTACCGTGCGATGGAAAGCAAACGGACCTAATTCGATACTATTTGGCCCGACCCGTGGTAGGCCCGTTACTTTCTATGGCGCTGTAGATATACGACACCGTACAAATCTGACGAACCTTGGCCCGGTCCGTTATATCTATACGCACCTTTAGAATTTAACGCCCTATCTCAGCCACGTTTGTTTGTAGAATCCTTAATTTAAAATTCCGGCAACAGTTGAGTAAAAAACGTGCAGCTCAACTTAAAAATTAAAGTAAATATTTTCTACTTAGTAGTTTTTCGGATTCTCGAGATCCTCCCATTTCTATCGCATTGGCAAAAGACGTTTTTAATTAACTCGTTCCACATTCTTGATATTGCGGTCTGTCGCTTTGAGGGTCACTTTAATCAACTAAAGTACGAGCCCTATTATTTGAGATTCACTCATAGATTCACCCTTATATACTTTGCGAATCATAGCGATGTGTTCCAAACAAGAATGGTCAAGTTGATTGTATATTTGATGAAACGTGTTCAGTGTGATTCTTGTTACGGAATCTAGGTAAATTTAATTTAGTCCTAGATGCTTTTAACATGAAAGGAAAAGATAAAACCATTAATATGTAAATATTTAATTAAAATAAATTTGATTAATAGTATAATAGGAAGTTCTTATTCGTAAATTTCCCAAAGTGAAGGGCATTAAGAAGTAAAAAACCCATGATTAAATTTGGTGTGTCCTATTCGAAGTGGATATGTTATCGTCCGTAAAGATTATTAAATCATTAATTATGAATTAAGAATTATCTAAAATTAGAAATTAATAATACAGTGAGATTCGAAAACTTTGAAACACATTATGCAAAAGTTTTTATTGATTTCTAAGAAAAATTTAAAAATAAGTATAAAATCATATTAAAAAAAAAACAGCATATACAAGGTGTCTTAAAAAGTTTGCACTACATGTAAACCTTTTTTGACCCCGATGCTACCAGAGGTGTGTCATAAGTTTAAAGTGTGTGTCTGTCTGTAGCATCGTAGCTTCCAAACGGATGAACCCGATTTTGATTTAATTTTTTTTGTTTTTCTGTTTGAAGATCATCAGCTCTTTTCTAATTGATGGAGAGATGAAAGAAAAGAAAACATGAGTTCATTCGCCAGAGATCGAACCTGGAACCTCCGAGTGTAGCCGTCGGTGCCTTTACTAATTGGACTACCGAAGCACATGTCTACGACAGTCGAATTTGTACATTTGAAGTCATTAGATTCCGACTCTTGTCGCCAAACACACTTTTCTCCCCCCCCCCCCCCCCCACCCAGCTCTCTCAATTACAACATCGTATAGAGGGATGCCAAGCTTAGCTTGTACTGCAATAAATCCTCCATTCATTTACCAGTGATACGACAAAGACAATGAAAGGCAAGAAAACCGATTTTTTTCACCTTTCATTGTAAACATAACAATTGGTAAATTTGAAAAAAAAAATAGAAAACAAACATACAGGCTGATTCATTGGCAAATGGGCATATGTTAACGGCGTATAGGGGTCACCTAGGTGGTTCCAAAAAAACCATATTTCATGGGTCTGTCGCCCTTTATAACCGAGATACAGAGTGTTTTATCAGTTTTGCTGATTTATTTCTAGGCTCATAACTTTTGAAACACGTATATTTTTTGATTTTTGGTATACAAGTACACCTTATTTAGTCAAATCCAGTGACGTACTAATAATAGGAAAAATCTAGGTTCGGATTAAATTTTACAAATTCTTCTATATCTAAAACAACTATCATAATTTTGAATATCTGTTTACATAATATTATAAAAGAGCAAAAAAAAATGAGTTACACCAAGTAGTTTTGGTATTTCCCAATACTTATTAATTTGAGTCAAATCTAATTGTTTCTAGATCCATCAATGTACTGATGTCACATTAACTCAATATTAAATTTTATATAATGTGAAAATACATTTATTATGTAAGATAATTCCATTTGTAAAAATTGTTAAACTCAGTGGTCGCTATGGACAACATGTTTCTTCCATGGTCAAACTGTTTTTTCTGGTCAGAATTCTTTCTACAGCAGTATACTTTCATACTTTTTTTGTGTCGGGGATTTTTTATTACTATAAATTTTTGAGAAAACATACTTGAAAAAATATATTTTTTACATTGTCTCCTAAATTTAAAAAAACCAAAGGAAAAGACCGTGTCACAGAATCGCCAAGCGACCATTTTCCTAAAGACAACTACTCATTTGGCTAATACCGCCACAGGTATTGCATTATATTAAAACAACTCACATGACGTTACTGTTTTTTCTCCTTGAATACCTACACTCTCTCAACCACCATTAATATATGTGAGTGAATGTAACACATCTCTTAGAGACTGGAGTCAAGATTGACTATTCTCGCTGATGAGTTCTAAAGAACGAAAGAATGACGCTCTCCTTAGGAAAATTATTTTGTCTCTGCTATTTTCCGTTTGAAATAATGTAATGTCTGTTGCGGTATTAGACAAAGGAGTAGTTGTTTTCAGTACGGAAACGGTTGGTTGACGTTTCTGTAACAAGAACATTGAGATTTTTCCTGTAGTTTTTATTTTTAAATTGGTTACATTTGAGAATATATTTCCTTTTTTAAATAGTATCTGTTGCTCACTTTTGGTATTATCAGTTTTTTTTGTTTCTTTTTTATTTGTTCGTCTATGCCAATTATTGACTAGAAATTCAATACATGGAACCATGGAAGTCATTCTTAGTCTTATTCTCCGTTTACATTTCATAAAATATTCTTAAATTTAAACATAACCTATTCTAAACCCGACTTTGTGTACAAGCCAGCTACGATCAACCCACGCATTCAAGATACTGTACAAGCTAAATATATATTTTACATGTATGACGACTGTCACGTACGCCATTAAACCAAACTGCATTCCAGCATATAATATACCTTATGCATCTCAACATTTTTCTCCTTCCTACTTAATAGATTTAAAAACTATTTCTACCGAATTTTACGTGCTGATGTAATGATCACCAGTTGGGCACGCCACACATAAGAACCGACACATTTCCCTGCATCGCCTGCCTGTCGCCACAACACTTACTCCAGTTTTGAGCTTCGATCAGTAAAGATGCCGCGGAGTCATCTACATCTCGTTATACAACACTGACGTTAAACCTCTAATAGTCTGACATGTTATGTTTCGGGGTCGGTATTTCACTTTCAAACTTCACACACACACACACACACACACACACCACACACCACACACACACCACACACCACACACACACCACCACACACACACACACACGCACACGCACACGCACACGCACACGCACGCACGCACCCACACACACACACACACACACACACACACACACACACACACACACACACACACACACACACACACACACACACACACACACACACACACACACACACACACACACACACACACACACACACACACACACACACACACACACACACACACACACACACACACACACACACACACACACACACACACACACACACACACACACACACACACACACACACACACACACACACACACACACACACACACACACACACACACACACACACACACACACACACACACACACACACACACACACACACACACACACACACACACACACACACACACACACACACACACACACACACACACACACACACACACACACACACACACACACACACACACACACACACACACACACACACACACACACACACACACACACACACACACACACACACACACACACACACACACACACACACACACACACACACACACACACACACACACACACACACACACACACACACACACACACACACACACACACACACACACACACACACACACACACACACACACACACACACACACACACACACACACACACACACACACACACACACACACACACACACACACACACACACACACACACACACACACACACACACACACACACACACACACACACACACACACACACACACACACACACACACACACACACACACACACACACACACACACACACACACACACACACACACACACACACACACACACACACACACACACACACACACACACACACACACACACACACACACACACACACA